ATTGGGAAAGGGGGGGGGGGGTAGTTTTGGGCTCTTAACTTATAGCGGAAAATTACAAGAATAAAAGCAGCCGCAGCTATTTTAGGAACGCAGTGAGCTCGGCGCCGAACTTCTTTTCGGTTGGCTCAACGTCGTCAACAACGTCCTCGCGGAAGATGTTGAAGGCACGACGAATGCGCAGATAGTTTTAGTGTCTTTTTTTTTTTTTAAATTTCAAAATCGCAGAGTGCAATTTTTGCGTCTCCCTTCAATTCACAGCTTTTATAAAGATGCAGCTGTGAAAATTTTTTTTTTCGTCCTCCTTTTTCATCAAAATTTTGGAGGCTTTTTTTGTGATTTGACCAATTTTTTAAAATCATTTATTTGATGTGATGATCATACCGAGTTTTGTTTATTAAAATTTTTTGCTTTATTAATACTGCTGCAGTGTGTATTTGGGAGGAGGAGAAAACTGCTGCTTTTGTTCTCATAGACGGCTAAATAGAATGGAAAAAAAAAATTGGCTCAGTAAGAGCAGCGAACTGGAATTTTCCATCTGATTGACAAGTTTACCCGTGAAAACTTTTAAAACTTGGGTCGCGTTAGGGGAGCGGGGGAGGGAGGAGAGGGAAAAGAGGGCAATGGAAAGAGGGTAAGGAGGAGAAGCTGAAAATGCCATGTCCGGGCAAATGGAAATCGGACAAATCGGACATGCTTTGACCGGAATTGACGAAGGGGGGAAGAGGGAGAAGGGGCGGAGGGTCGAAAAGGGTATTGAAATTGAGTGCAGACTAGTTGCTCCTCCCTGTTTTTCTACATATCCATCGTGCGTAGTGGTGTTACAGTATTCTGAATTCTAAAACATTTTGATAAAGTACTCGCGTCACTAGCTGTTGCTTTTGACAGTTGCTGCCGTTGAAATACTTCCAGGTGTCTGTGCCTCTCACAGAGAGTGCATAGAAAGGGGCATTTGATTTTTGGCATGCCCTGGAAATACGAAAAAAACTTTTGCACGTGTTTGTGACATCGAGCTCTATCGATTGGGGGAAGGTTAAGGCTTGAAATTGAGGCTTCTGAGAACTATTCCGCTTGATTATCAAAGCGGATATTAGATTTTAAAAATCAGTGAAAATCTGGGGACATATAAAAGTCAGAAATCTCATTTTAGTACAAAATGTAAATGCTTTAAATTAAAAAAACCGAAAACTTAATCCTGGGATTTGTGGGAGATTTGTGAATTTGTTAGTTTTTGTCTGAATTTTTTGCTTTGAATTTGAAGTTTGTTTTTTTTTTTCTTTGTGAGTTATCAGAAAGTTTTTGATGCTGCTCCTTGTACGGAAGCTGCATTGCTACTGTGCTCAACTGCAGTATTGTCCGGTGCGTTGCTGATCGATGCCGTTCCTCAGATCAGTATTTCTTTTTTTTTTTTGAGTTTTTTCGAGTAAAAAAATGAAATGAAAGATTTTGTCCGTTCAGGATGCATCTGTTGGCGAGATATTATTGCTTTCTTTTTTTTTTCGTGTGCTGTAGTAGAAGGCAGTTTCAGATCTCGGGTACTGATAATAGTTATTCATTACAGTTCACTGGATTTTTAATGGAAAAATTTGTCTTGCATGTTGTGTCAGTTCTGATTCTTTGAATTGCTAATGCGTGGTTGTTCCGAGTTTAATTCCAGAATTATA